TGCCTTTGGCTTTCTCTTCTGACTTGCCTTTGGTCTTCTCTACTGACTTGCCTTTGGTCTTCTCTACTGACTTGCCTTTGGCCTTCTCTTCTATCTTCCCTTTGGCCTTTTCTTCTGACTTGTCTTGAACCTTCTCTTCTGAATTGTCTTGAATCTTCCCATCTGGCTTGTCTTCAACCTTTTCTTCTGACTTGTCTTCAACTTTCTCATCTGACTTGTCTTCAACCTTCTCATCTGACTTGTTTTCAACCTTCTCATCTGACTTGTCTTCAACCTTCTCATCTGACTTGTCTTCAACCTTCTCATCTGACTTGTCTTCACTCTTCTCTTCTGACTCGTCTTCACCCTCTTCATCAGTTTGTTCCTGTGGACGTGGTATAAATCCAGGCTTCTTGAACTTTTCATCCACAAAGAGGGGCGAGTCACAAAACGTACAGAAAGGCTCAAGATCACAATCTAGGAACATTAAAAATATTCCAAAATTATTATATATTCATAAATTATTTTCAATAAGTAAGAGACAAATAAGAAATAGAAAGGCTCGAGACTGAAGGTCAGAAAAGATGATAGGGGTACCAATGTTTTGATGTCACCATGACTACATTTTTCAATAACAAATATTGATTGAAAAATTAATGTATAAAATATTGCAAAATAAAAAATACTTTTATAAATTGAAAATGAGCATTACTATCATTTTAAAACCCACTTGAAACATTTGTTACAATTCACGACCTTCTGTATAGACAAAAAAATAATTAATAAGATGAAGAAGTAGGATCTCAGCACAATAATTGACTTCATAGAAAATATAGGACCTAAACACAAACTATTAATTAAAAAAATAAAAAGATGATACTACAATATAGCCCAGACTATGATATATTATTTGTTTTTTATATAAAATTAAAATAATTATATTGTAAATTAGCTAGAACAACTAATATTTTGGCACTTTTGGGAAACTTTCATCAAATTTCAAACTATACACAATGTCCATTTATTAAGATCTGATTAACATTTTAGGGAAAATTGACCTTTCTGCGGCACATACCACCAATAATGTGCATTGCAACATAGTCTATACTTTTAAGTGATACTGATGAGAATTTGATCCCATGGCTACAACATTTGAAATTTTCTTCAACTTTAAATACTTTCAATTTCACTCACACTCATGTATTTCTCAAAATTTACTGAATCCTACTGAAAAAATATAGTATACAATATTGAAAGTACTGTTAATTGACATGCTGATTTAGTTTTCATTCCTACATTGTCCAAGTAAATACTGTGTTTGATAAAAAACAAACATTTTTTAAAATTGTTCTTCAATTCTTTTAGATCTCAATTAATTCAAAGCAAGGTTCCTTCCAGATTAACGCATTGGCAAAAAAAAGGAAAAAAAAAAAAAAAAAAAAAAAAAATCCTTTGTGCGCTGCAACAAACTACACAAAAGCTCATTTGAAGTTCGGGAAGGGATTCTGGAACTCAAGAAAATGTGGTGCAGAATAATCTTTCTCTCCCCCCCCCCCCATGTCACCACAGTTTTCACTGTTTTTTGAATGAATAAATCTAAGAATTTGCATAAAAAAAATGCACTAAATTCTGAAATACATCTGCAATATGAATACAAAGAATACACAAGAGGTTTAAAAAATTACATGCGAGTTAAATTGGAAATTCAAATGCGATCTAATCACAAACAAATTTGACATAGAATATTTGAAGCTGTTTGGGATATTTTTGGTAAACTGACACAATTTGAATCAAAATACAATTTTTTTGCTTATGTAACACAAAAATATTAATTCTTCGGAAAACACTGAACCCAATTGCATTTTAAGCCCCAACATTCAAGAACTCATGGAATTGAGAAAAAAATCTCCACCTTCAATAATAGATGTTTGAAAAAAGGGAGAATTTTTGTATTTTCAAATTTTAACATGTTTTCATGGAAATAAAACTAAAACCATATTTTGTAGGCTCTATTTTTCTCTTGAATGAAAAATAAACTTCCTCAACCTTCTTCCCAGTTGCCATCTATAGCTGTTCAAAGTAAATTTTTTCACATTTACTCCATTTAGAACTCAAATATGACTTTACAAATATTACAAAAATCCTCATCCTATATGGCCATTTTCACTGAAAAATTAAGAAAATGTTGTTTACACATTTCTGTAAATGCAAAATTTGAATTAACTGTTAGGTGTAATTGTCTAATAAATACCTTTTATTATTAAACTATCCCTTTAAATTTAAAGACAGTTAAATTCATTTCATATTTTTTAATTACTCCATTAGTACAATGTTTGAATGAACATTTTCATCATTTGCAAGTACTGAAAGTATAGTTTCAGCGTTTCTGACAATGAGGAAAAATGAACTTATTTTCACAGAGAAATAATGATCTTTCGAGAAACTTCACTTGAAATTATTGAAGCACTTGTTCTCACAAATGCAAAATTGTATACAAATTGCAAGTAATGTATGAGAGATATTAAAAAATAAAATAATAATAATAATATAATAATAATAATAATAATAATAATAATAATAATAATAATAATAGTAAATAATAATAATAATCATTCGTTCAGTTTTTGAAAAAACAAAAGAATATATGTCAAAGTAGCATTTATGTCATGTTATTCAGTTCATTCAGCACTATCCCTTCAAAAAAAATTTAAGGAAAATTATGAGAAAAATTGGTGTTTGAGCATTTCTGAAAATGCATAAATTTGAGCTTATTTTCACAGGGATGTAATGAGATTTTGAGAAACTTTGTGCAATGATAACGATGATGGATAATGATAACTATGACTGGTAGAGAACTAAAACATCGTTCAAAATTAAATGTTGCAAGTGTCTTTTTGATCTTTGAAATTCTTATAAGTTTTTTGAACATGGTCTGTATTTCAGAAAAAAGAAGGTAATTAATACAAATTATCCATTCTAAAGGCAAATGAAATAATTTTGAAAGCAGCACTAAATATTACAAAATTAACAGGACTTATTACAGAAAATGATTGATTATTTTGTCTTTTCAGGCACGTGAACAGGTAGGGTCATTAGTCCTGTAAGTGTAGTGCCTATTTATATCACGGGAGTTGGAGGTGTTCTTTCCCAGCTGGATGGTGAAATCTGGCACCAACTTACATGGCGACTTGCAGGTTTTTCCCCATCCAAATATCAACCACCAACAGGACATACCCAAGCCAGGACAAGGTCTAAGCTCCTGACATGAATGGGAGTGTAGTTCGTGTAAGTGTGTGTGTGTGTGTATGTAAGTAAAGGATGAGAATAAAACAAGGCAAAGGCAGGAAAGATCACACATGGGAATATTTGTTAGGGTTCTGCCTTGGCCTGGGATTGATCAAAGAAACTACAGAAAACTACCAAGCTGAGCTGCCAGCCATAAAATTCTCCTCCAGATAGCAGCCTAACTATCTAATTAGTGCCAAAAATCCTGCCACTGTCAGAACTTGAACCCTAGGACCTCTAGGCCAGGGACACTGTAGTGACATCAGTAGATGTCCTGACCCACCTCAGCCAGAATTATATAAATAAAAATATCAAATGCCTTACCAATATCCAAACAAGCAACAGATGAACACACAATGCACAAACGGTAAGGGATACGGTGGCATCGGCTCAAGCAATGGCAACACCGTGAAAGTCGATGGTTTGCAGGACAAGTGCCAGAACGCCAATCAATATCCATTTGCACCTGTGATCTGGGTCAAGGATAAATAATTTTTGCCAATATTCTTCATTTCAATAAATTATTAATTACATAATCAGGTAACTATTTAACTTCAGGTAAACAAATGGTTTTTAATATTATTATTTCCCTCCCTATCATTAAAAAAATTTCAATTAGAAATTTAATTATGCTGTGTGTGTGAGTGTGTGCGTGCGTATATATATACTATATATATATAATATATATATATATATATATATATATATATATATATATATATAATATATATATATATATATATATATATATATATATATATATCTCAAAGAACAACAAAATATTAATGAAGTGCATGTATTTTTATAGTGTGAATATGCACAAAGAACAAAACACAGTGGTTCTTGTTTACAAATTATGTTCTTTTCTCTTTTAATTTGCATATTTCTGTATTAGGGCAGAATAATGCTAAAATTCATCCAATATTTTAAAAAAAGAC